GCAGGGCTTCGCAGCGCTTAGCAAAACTTAGCAGGGCATTGCAGGGCTGAGCAGGGCCCACAACTGGTTAGCAGAGGTTAGCAGTGGGTAGCATGCCCTAGCAGGGCTCTTAGCATATCTTTGCAGCTCTTAGCAAGGCTTACAGGCAGCAGGACCTTGCAGGGAATAGTAGGGCTCAGCAGGGCCTGGCAAGGCTTAGCAGGCCCTAGCAGGGCTTAGCAGGGCTTAGCAGTGGTTAGCAGTGCTTACCAGGGCCTACCAGAGCTTAGCAGGGAGTAGCAGGGCTTAGTCGGGCCTAGCAGGGCGTAGCAGGGCTCCGCAGGGCATGGCAAGGCTCCGCAGGGTTTACCAGGACTCAGCACAGCTTAGCAGGGCTTTGCAGCGCTTAGCAGAACTTAGCAGGGCTCAGAAGGGCTGAGCAGGGGCTACCACTGGTTAGCAGAGGTTAGCAGTGGTTAGCAGGGCCTAGCAGGGCTCTGAGCAGAGCTCAGCAGCTCTTAGCAGGGCTTACAGGCAGCAGGGTTTTGCAGTGAATAGTAACGCTTAGCAGGACCTAGCAAGGTTTAGCAGGCCCTAGCAGGGCTTAGCGGGGCTTAGCAGTGCTTATCAGGGCTTAGCAGGGCTTAGCATGGTCTAGCAGGGCTCAGAAGGGGCTATCAAGGCTTAGCAGTGCTACGCAGGGCTAAGCAGGGGGGGGGGTAAGCATGGCCTACCAGAGTTTAGCACGGCTTAGCAGGTCTTGGCATGGCTTAGCAGGGCTAAGCAGAGCTTAGCTTGTATTATTTTTATACTTTGATATTTCTGCTCAGACATGTCGGGCTGTTTGGAATTTTCGCGTCGTGTGGGTGCTAAGATAGCGCGGGGGTGCGTGGAAGGGCGATACCCTGGGCTGGACCTCCCCCTGGGAAGGCCGAGGATATTCTATTTCTCTAAGGGGGGATAAAAGGAATCGCAAAGGAAAAGGAGGGGGAGGAGGAGAAGGAGGAGGAGGAGGGGGAGGAGGAGGAGGAGGAAGAGGACTCGGGTGATCACGACAGGGGCCACTCAGGAACACCACGACGACGACGACCGAGACGACGACGACGACCTCCCTCGTGTGAGCGTAACTGGCTCAGCAGGGCTTGGCAGAGCTTAGCAGGGCTGATCAGAGCTTGGCAGGGTTCAACAGGGCTTAGCAGGGCTTAGCAGGGCCTAGCAGGGCCTAGCAGTGCGTGCTTATCAGGGTTTCGCAGGGCTAAGCAAGGCTTAGCAAGGCTTAGCTGGGCGTAGCAGGGCTTAGCAGTGCTTGGCAGAGCCTTAGCAAGGCTTTGCAAGACGCGCCAGGGATAAAGGTGCACAAAGATCTGGGCTAGATCCTTGACATTCGTCACGACACCCTCTCTTGGCGTTAGTGGGGCGGCCGCCGATGGTGGATTTTGTTTTCTGTGTGCGGCGGGTGCTAAGTGTATCGTTCGGCTAAAACTGCCCGCCTGGAATATTGAGAAAACCGGGTGCTGAGAATAACCCAGGGGGGTTTCTTAATGCCTTCCTGAGGTTAAGGGCGGCTGGAAAGGGGGCAAAGGTCATGTTGACACGGGCGAAGGCGCAGGCACGACGAAGGGCGATTCCACGGGCACTGGCAAGTAGCGCCCGCGTGACGAGGGAGAACGCGATGACAGGCAGCCGCGCGCTTCTCAGCGCGCCTAGTGCGTGCCTGGGCTGCGTGGCGTGAGTCCCCAGTACTTGCAAGCATAGGCGCGCGCGCGTTCGGCCCGCGCGCGCGCCCGAGCGGTCCCATTCGAGTGTGTCGTGCGCACGTATTTGGTGGTCCGAGGGCCCCGTCGGCGCCCGCGCCACTTCGTGTATCCTGCGACGCGCGGCCCCGCGTTGCAGCCGCGCGCGCGCGCCCGGGCGTTCGCGGCGCAGCCGCCCCCGCCATCGCGTGCACGAGGCGCGCGCGTCCTCGACGCGCTGCGGGCTCCGCGGCGCGCGGCGCGCCCGCGCAGTCCCGGGACTTGCTGTGGGACCTCCCTATGCTGGGCGTCCCAGAGTTGCCGCAACATGCGGAGCGCCGGCGAGCGCGCGCAGGCGCGCGTTCCCAGCACCTTCGCATTGTTGCCCGTTCGCAGGACGCGGCTGTTCGCGCGGGTTTCCCCGCGCCGGTGGCGCTGGCACTCGCGTCGCCCTAGGCGCGTCGATGGTCGCGGCGAACCGCCCGGGCGCCGGGCGGAGCCGCGCAATGCGCGGGCAATTGGCCCAAATTCACGCCCGCTCACGCCAGCGCGGGAATTGCATCCTTTCGCGAGCCGCAGGGCAGCGGCCGCAGCGCTCGGGGAAAGCGCCAAATTCGATTTCCCCCGCGACGCGGTCGGAATTTGTTACGCCCCCGCGCGCGATGCCAGTTTCTTGGAGAAGCCCGTTGTGCTCGACGCGTCCATTCGCGCGGCCGTCGCGTGGGCAGCCGCGACGCCGCTGGCCGTCAAAGCGCGCGAGAGGGAGCGCGTGCTGGACCAGCTCGCGCGCCGAGCTCAGCAACTGGTGGCCTCGGGCCGTGCTGAGGCCTGCTGTGAGGGGGCTGGAGACACCGTGCGGCGCGTCGCCGCCGCGGTCAACGGCCCGTTGTGCGAGGCTCTCGCCTCCGAGTTGCAGTATTACGACCCCGAGTGCGTCAATTTGTTTCGAGAGGGGGCGCGGATTTCGGGCGACCTGCCTGCGCCCGGGCACGGGCGCGCGATTCCGCTTAAGAAGAAAGGGTACGAGGACGCGAGCATGCTTCTGGGTTCGGCGCTGGATTGCAACACCGCGCTGCTCGCGGCTCTCATGCTCGACGCGCGCGCCGATGCAATTTTCGAGCAGGCGTTGAGTCGCGCACTGGGCGCATCTGGGCGCCAGTATCGGTGAGCAGCATCGATCTCTCGCGCGTCATCTTATCCCAGCGCTTCGCTGTCGAGCAACGGCGCTCCGGGGGCAAGACCAAGCTACGCCTAGTGGACGACCTGTCCAGGAGCGGCATCAATGCGACGTGCCGCCCTGTCGAAAAGCTGCGCGCCGAGGGAATCGATCGCCTCTTCGCAGTCGCGAAGCTCCTTCACCCGGCGTCGGGCAGAGTGCCAGTGCTGTTCAAAGCTGACATCGATGCGGCGTTCTGGCGCATCCCACTGGCCCCGTGCGACCAATGGGCGGCGTGGGTCGTTTTCCTGCGCGCTCGCGGCGTGCCGCCGCGCCATCCCCTTCGGCGGCGAGGTTTCGGTCCGTGGTTGGGACAGGGTAGAGTCGGCCAGTTCCTCGCTTTCGTGGCGCGCCGCCTCTTGTGCATCCCCACCCTCCGGTATGTTGACGACTATTTCAGTCCCGAGCTCGAGGGGTGCGCGCGGCACGCGATGCCCTCGTTCGCGCGGCTCGTGCGCATCCTTCTCGGCGAGAGTGCAGTCGCCGAGGCGAGAGTGGAGCGCGGCAGTCCACGCCCAGTGCTGGGGCTCAGCGTCTCGTTAGATCCGTCGGGCATGACGTGCGTCCCTCTGCCCGAAAATCCGGAGAAGTGGCGCGCTCGTCTCGGCGAGGCCCTCAGCGCGGGCCATGTGCCCCGCGGCGCAGCCAGCAAGCTCGCGGGCGCGCTCGTGGGGGCGTCCAGCAATTTGTTTGGCACAATGGGACGCGCTATGGTGTCACCATTCTTCGCCTTTTCCCAGAAAAGGCGTCCACGGCTGGCGGCTGTCGGGCGAAGCGCGGAGCGCGTGCGCGTGGTGGCGCCACGTTCTCTTGCGCGCCGTCGTCGAGAAGCGCGCGTGGCGCCCGCCCGTGGCGCGGTCGGCGGCTCTCTTCGGCGACGCCTGGGGCGAGCCCCCGCACATCGCCGCGGTACTTTTCATCGACGGCGGCGCGTTCTTTTGTCACGCGGCAGTCAGCCGCGATCTGTTGTGAGGGGGGCAGGGTGCACGTGTATTCTGACATTGGCGTGCGCCGAGGGTGCTGTGCGCAAGGGCCGGACTTCCGCGTTCGATCGCAACGGCGTGAGCCATTGCATCTGGGCCGCGGCTTTTTGCTTGCGCTTAAATTTTGTGCGCGCACCGCGTCCCGAGCGCGCTTGACGTGGCGCATCCGCCTAGTAGTGAATGTTTCCAGCTCGTGGCAGTTCTGCGCGCGCGGGAAGTGCTGGCGGCCCTCGACCCGTCCTTTTTCGACGCCGGCCCCTAGCGGGTCGCGGTCCACGACAGCCGCTGCGGGCGTGCGCCAGCGCTAGTTCGGGACGGGACAACGTTATCTGCACGCACCGCGTCGACACCATCTGTGCAATCGCGGGCCGAGGCACGCTGGCGCGCAGGCCAGCGCCTGCTGGCGCGCGAGGGGGGGCCCGCGTGTAGGGGCGTACACGCGACGTGGTTGTTCACGCGCCGGGTCGCAACGAGGGCGCGTGCGCGCGTGACCGCGCTTCGACTCGCTGCAGTTCGGGCCAGTCGGCGTCGCGCCGCAGATGTCGCAAAGGGTGCAGTTCTTCGCTATCGCGCGGGCGACGGCACCAGACGCTGCGCCACATCGCTTAATCGGCGTATGTGAGTTGCTGTCGGCGGCCGGCGTGCAGCGCCTGGAGGACCTTCGCGGCGTCGCAGAATCAGACGTGACGGGCCTCGACGCACTGTCGCCTCGGCATCGGCGAGTGACGACGCAGCTAATAACGGCGGCGAACTTCCCCGCCGCGTTCGCTCGCCCGCGCAGCCGCGGGCGCGACGCCGCCCCGCGCGCCGCGGCGGCGCCCCCTGCCCGCCCCGTGGCTGTCGAGGGCGGTTCGGCTTCCGGAGCTGACGGCAGCGGCGATTCTGCGTCCAGCTCCTCTTCCGTTCAATCACGCAGTGTGCGCGCGGGCGAGGACGCATCCCCGTAGAGGGCCGCGGGCGCCCGGGCCGCGCGACTTATCGCCGCTAGATTTATCGATGATGCGCGCTTGGCACATGGCTTCGCCCCCTCAGAAGTCTGCGCTGGCAGCCGTTGCCGCGCGGGGGCCCCGCAGTTCTGGTGCGCGCAAGCGCGCGAGTGTGGTGCCGGGCTCCAACGTTCGGTCGGTCGGCGGCGCGCGCAGCGCACTTCGTTTGCATGTCAAATGCGCAGAGGCCAGGAGCCTGGAGGGCAAAGAATTCCTGGTGTCCAGGGCTGAGTTCGCTGTGTTCTCGGGGCTGTTCAGGTCCGAACGCGCGTTCGCCAACTACGTGTGCCACCTGCGTGCGGTTTCGTTTGCGTTTGGCTTCGCTGCCGAGGCGCTCGAGGAGTCGGTTGTGAAGCGCATTAAGCACGCGGTCGCGAAGCGCACTTCCTTCGTCCCGCGCCCAAAGACATTCGTGCTGCGGGGCCTCATCGAGCGCGTGCTCACCCTGGCGACGGAAGGCAGAGTGGGCCGTCGCCTCGCGCTGCTGTTCGCGCTGGCGTACAAATTTCTGCTCCGCCTCCCGTCGGAGGCCCTCATAATTTCTGTCAGCAGTTGTGGCGCCTTTGACGCCGCGGCCCCGGCGTCGGTCGTTGTGGCCGGGGCGGCTCTCAGCCTCTGGCTCGCGCGGCGCAAGAATAAAGGGCGCCCCGCGACGTGGTGGCGCCGCTGCTGGTGCGCCTCGTTGCGTATCTCGTGCCCCGTGCACGCCAGTGGGCCGTGCCTCGCCTCGGGCGCTCGGGATTGCCCGCTGTCTGCCGGCATCGCGAGCGCGGCGGCCACCGAAGGTCTCCGCGACGCCCTTTTGGCTGGCCTTAGTCAACGCGAATGTTTACGCCACGCGCGCGATGCGCCGCGGCCATGCGTGGGACCTCTTGGTAGGCGGCTCCACCGTCGGCGAAATTAAGCGCGCTGGGGGCTGGTAGTCGTCGGCCTTCCTGCGCTATTTGCCAGCCGATGAGCTTGAGTGCATCGCCGCCTTGGAGGCGCATGGCGCCCTGGCTCCACTACTCCAGGGGGGCGCGGACCAGCGTCCGCTCTCGCGTGCGGAAGTGGCTGGCGCGTCCGATCTCGCATCCGTTCGACGCGCGGGCTAGCGGTCGCGCGGGAGTGCGCTCGCCCGCGCGCGTCCGTCTGCGTCGCGAGTGCGCTCGATTGGCGCGGGGTCTCTCACGCCTTTGCGCCGCAGTCGGTCGAGTGCGGCGGCGGGGGGGTGCGCGGGCGGCCCCCCAGGTGGGGCAACGGGCCGCGGCGCCGCTCGCCTCCGCTCGCGCGCGGCCAGCGCGGCGCCGCACCCCATGACAGGCGTGGTGTCGCCGCGCCGTCCTTCATGGTCATCCGGGCCGCGCTTCGTGGTGCTGCGCACGCTTGTTTGTTTCAGAGTCACAGGGCGCGGCAGGGGTGCCCGCCGCAGGCGCGCGCGCATGGCGCGCCGCGCGCGCCCGCCGCGCCCGCGCGGGCGATCCGCCTGGGCGCGGCGCGGTGGGGGCGCGCGTGCCTGCCGCGGCGGTGCTGCGCAGGTGCCGCATCGCCCGCGCATGGCGCGGGCGGCGGTGGGCGCCGCTTTTCTCTTCCCCCGTGGACTGCCCCAGGCCGTTGTCTCTTGCGGCGGCGGGCCTCCGTGCCTTCGTCGCCGTCGGCCGGCTGGCGTCTCTCACGCCCTCGCGCCGCAGTCGGCCGCGCGCGGACGGCCCCCCAGGTGGGGCAGCGGTCCGCGGCACCGCTCGCTTCCGCTCGCGCGCGGCCAGCGCGGCGCCGCACCCCGTGACGGGTGTGGTGTCGCCGCGTCGTTCTCCACGTTCATCGGGGCCGCGTTTTTTTTGGGTGGGGTCCAGAGAACTCCTGCACCGATCTCCAGCGTAGTCCAATCGGCTTCGTCCGTGAGGCAGCTGACGGGCGTAGGGTCTCACGCCGAGTGCGGTCAGGATCGCGTTGAGTCTGTTTCCTACTGCTGCTCCTTCATCGCGCGCCAAGTCGCAGTCGGACTAGTGGTAGGGCGTAGGAGGGCTGGCCATGAATGTGGGGCTGTTCTCAGCGTGGTTTTCCTCTCTTGCCCCTCCTGCCCGCCCTCCCCCTCCTCGAGAAGCGGGCTGAGGTAGTTCCAGGTGAGATTTATTTTTGTGGCTATGATTATGAATTCGTGGTCTATGTTTATTGCGTGCGAGTTCCGTGGCATTAGCGGCGGTGTAGGTCAGTGGGACCGTTTCCTGTGCGTCTGCTTACCTCCTAACGTTCTTCGTCCGCGGTTCGAACGCATTCGGGTTATATCCTGCAGTTGTGCTATACATCTGAGTAACCTTGACCCCTGATTGGGCGCATCTGCCTGGCCTCTCTTGTTGGATAGAGGTGAGACGCATTTTTTGGAACAGTGTCTTTATGTGCAGTAGCTCGAGGTTGCTGCCGTGCGTTCGTCGCATTGTCGCCGTCGGTGCTCATAGTATCTGACTCCCGACCCCCTTTCCCTTTGTGAGCGAGATCGCAGTTGGTGTATATTTTGAGTGTCTCGTGGCGCCAGTCCTGGCGCAGTTCCGTGGCACCTGCTGCGGTGCGCTTGTTTATATATCAGCGTTCGTTGTCCGTGTTTTGAGCGCATCTGGGCTATATCCTTCACTTTTGCCGAGAACATTGCGAGTCACCGTAACCTTTGTTTGGGCGCTTTTCATAACATAAAACTAATTGGCGTTTCCCCGCGCAGTTCGGCTCACCCAGTGAGGGTTCCACATGCGGCCACAGTGGGAAGCAAACGTCCGCCCTGCAAATTTTGGCACAGCCTTTACACGGACCGTGCATCGGGACGCTCAGTACCAACGTTGCATGAAGCTGCTAAGGTCCTGGTCCCTCGTTAAGCGAAGTTCCAATCCTCTTGTGTTGTTTTGGTCCTCGTCTTCAATCCGCAGCGCCGTGCGTCTCATACTCCTTTCTCTCGTCCCCTTTCCGTCCTGTTTTCTCCAACCATCCTGTCCAGTTGGGTTCTCATTTTGAATCCGCAGTGCAACGCGTGTCATCCTCCTTCCTTCTTTGCTCCTCGCTGGACTCGAGTCTGCGCGCTTCCATTTCGGCATTCTCCGAGGCCACGTCGCTCATGCGGCTCGTGGCCCCATCAGGAGTCCTACCCACGGCCCCAGTGAGGGCGCACGTATGGCATCGCGTTTTATTGTTTCATCCCTTATATTTGTCGTGCCGCCACAGGGGAGCTCGCACCTGCGGGCCCAGTGGGCATGTTCGCATGCGTCCTCCCCGCCCATCTTGGCACATCGAGCGATTTTCAGAAAAAACGTTACATGAAACTGCTGAGGGTTGGGCACACCGCCAGGCTGATTTTAGGCACGACGAGTGTGCCCGGTATCAGGGCGAGAGCTCCGGTTTGAGAACGACCCGCTCTCCATCCGCGTAGCCGTCGGATTTGTAGGACGAAAATGTGCGGCGCCGCTGTGAAAGCTGATTTCTGAACACGACTCGCCCTTCGTCCGTGTAGCTGTTGAAATCTCAAACTTCTTAGGGCGGGGGGCAGTCTCAATCGAAACGCCTGGCCCGCTCCATCGACACGTCTGGTGGTGCGACGGGGGGGAGTTCCCCTGAGGGAGGAGGTATGGAGGAGGAGGAGGAGGAGGAGGAGGAGGAGGAGGAGGAGGAAGAGGAGGAGGAGGAGGAGGAAGAGGAGGAGGAGGAGGAAGAGGAAAGGTAGCAAGATGAAGTTGGCGGGGTCAGCCGAATTTGTGCTCGAGGTGGGACGCTGTGCCGAGATCGCTGTACGCGGAGCCGTCAACAGACTGCAGCCATGGGCGAGCCGGCAACCAAAAAGGCCAAGACCGAACGCATCTTCTTGTTCTCGTCTGAGTCGGTGAATGAGGGCCACCCGGACATGACGGTTAGAAGCATAAGCCGCTAACGCCGCTCGCATGGTATGGTCCAAAATTTGGTCTGGTGCGTGGGTCCATGCAAGGGTTGGACAGAGCAGTAATCGTGGCACCGTGGGCTAGCGTTGGTAGTCAGTGCTGCTGGTAGTGGGAGCCTGCGTCGGTGGTAATCAGGGCTGGTGGGGCTGGCGAAGGCTGGTCTGGGATAGTGCAGCGGATCGGACTGGTGGATTCCTTCAGGTCAGTGTCTGGAAACCGCTTTTGCGGCAATGAGAGCTTGTTAGGCTAGTCGGAACTCGGAGCTAGTATAGGCTATTGTCGGGAATCGGCGTTGTCGGACATTCGGGGATGGTGTTTGGAAGCATCAGCGTTTGTGATAATCAGAGCTGGTGGGCCAGTGCGGGCTAATACTACGGCGTTACAGCAACTCGTCATGGTCTTTTTGGGAGCGTCAAGATGACGCCGGTTTCGTCCGTCACTTCGCGCGAGCGGGCGGGCGAGTGCTGACCCCTGAAACTGCCCCCCTTTCCCCCCTAGAATCCTGGCGGGCTGGGTCAAGAGCGGTCGGATCGAAGGTCCGAGATTTCTAAATCTGGGATTTCCTCTAGTAGTGTAATAGTATATGCATGTGTGTGTACATATATATTTATATATATGCAGACATGAACAGGATAGTTTTGAATCCCGACGTGAAAACAGGGTCTTAGAAATCCCACCGGGCGGGTGAGGGCCAGTGTCAGGAGCCAGCGTTGGCGAACTTCATTCTCATGTTGCTTGGTGAGAACCCCCTCAGTGCCAGCACCAGATAGGGTGGGGGCTCGTGCTCAGTGTCAGTCAGTCTGGTCGGGACGACGCATTTTCCAGAGTTGCAGTCCTCGGCGTCGTGGTGGCAGCGGCTACTGGGCCGATGGGGGAGCCGGCCCCTGGAGCCGGAACCTCCGGTCCCCAGAACGAAACTTTGCAGCATCACGAACCCGCTTCTTAAGATGCAAACGGGAGGCCCTCAGTGCAAGTTTGCTAGGGAATATGGCCTGCGTCTGCTTCTTCTCTGGCGAGGTCGGTCGGAAGGAGCGGCACCTTCTGTGGGGTTTTGCCTCGCGCATTGCTGCCCGACCTCTGAGGACAAGCTCTGCGACCAGGTCTCCGATGCCGTGCTGGACTGCTGCCTCACGGGGGATCCCAAGAGCAAAGTCGCCTGCGAGACCGCCACCAAGGACAACATGGTCATGGTTGCGGGCGAGATCACCACCCAGACGGCGATCGACTACGAGAAGGTCGTCCGCGGGGTGGTAAAGAAAATCGGCTTCGACACCTACGTGGATGACCTGTCCAGCGTGGACAGCAAGGGGCTGAGCGACACCACCTGCGAGGTCCTGGTGCGCATCAACAAGCAGAGCCCCGACATCGCTGGCGGCGTGCACGTCGGAAAGGACGACATGGACGTCGGCGCGGGCGACCAGGGCATCATGTTCGGCTACGCCACCGACGAGACGGAGGACTGCATGCCGCTCACCCACTCGGTCGCGACCAAGCTCGGAAAGAAGCTGACGGACGTGCGCAAGGACGGCTCGCTCTGGTGGCTGCGCCCGGACGGGAAGACGCAGGTCACCATCGAGTACCTGCAGAAGGCCGACGGCTCCGTGGAGCCCCAGAAGTTCCACACGATCGTCATTTCTACCCAGCATGCTGAGCCCTTGAAGGCCACGCGCACGAAGGAGTGCGCCGGCTACACGGGCGCAGAGATGACTGCACCCAGCATGGAGGCCATGAACAAGGAGATCGTCGAGAAGGTGATCAAGAGCACTCTCTCAGAGATCAAGCTCAAGAACGGAAAGCCGGCGCTTACCCTTTTCGGAGACCATACCCACTTGCACATCAACCCGTCTGGGAAGTTCATCATTGGGGGCCCCCAGGGCGACGCAGGCCTCACCGGCCGCAAGATCATCATCGACACCTACGGGGGCTGGGGCGCCCACGGCGGTGGCGCCTTCTCCGGCAAGGACCCGACCAAGGTCGACCGCTCGGCCGCGTACATCTGCCGACAGATGGCCAAGTCCGTGGTGAAGAGCGGCCTTTGCAAGCGCGCGCTGGTGCAGCTGTCCTACGCCATCGGCGTCGCGAAGCCGCTGTCGCTGTTCCTCGAGACCTACGGCACCGAGCAGGGCAAGCTGTCGGCCGAGGACATCACCAACGTGCTCAAGATCGAGTTCGACTGCCGCCCTGGCGCCATCGCGGTGACGCTGGCCCTTCGTGAGCCCAAGTACCAGGAGACGGCGGCCTACTGTCACTTCGGCCGCGAGCCCTACACCAAGGACGGCAAGAAGTTCTTCGAGTGGGAGAACGCCAAGGACGTCAAGAAGTACGCCTCGATGGATTCGGCGCAGGTCTCTGCGGCTCTGAAGGCGAGCAACTACCTGACGAAGTGGGTGGACTGAGCGGTTTCTCACGCCCAAGGTTTCGTGACTTCACAAGTTGATGCGCTGCAGCTCAGGTGATTTTGGCGCATAGTTTTGCCATTTCGGCACCACTCCCAGATCCGCGAGCACTTCATCTCGGTGAGGAGCTAGTGCGTTGGGGTGGTTGGCCTGTACGTCTCTCGAAAAAGCTTGTGAGCCAATACCATCTTTAGGCACTGGTAGGGCCCCAGTCCCCCTCGGGGGGCTCCCGAAGCCCCAAAACGCCTCGAGTGCCCAACGCTATGTTTCCACACTACTACGTGTTTCCAGGAGGGCCCCAGCGGGTCCAAGAGGTCCAAGATGTCTCACGACGGGCCCGGGAGGCCACAAGAGGGTCCCAAGAGGACCCCCAGGCGGCTTATAGATGTAACAACCAGAAGGGTTTTATGTTTGTTTGTCACTGTTCTCGGGATTCCGCACTTTTCGTCAACATGTGCTTACCAAAGGGCATCGAAGGAGCCCGAGAGCGCCCAGTAGAGGCCCAAACTGACCCCAAGAGGGCCCCAATCTGGCTCAGAAGTGGACCGACGAGGGCTTCTGGAGGAGCCCAAGCGAGCCTCACGACGGCGCAAGACGGCCCTCCCAGATGGCCCACAAGCTCCCCGATATGCTTCAGATGGCTCCAAGATGGCCCCACGAGAGCCCAAGAGGGCCCCCAAGATGAACCAAGATGGCTCCAAGACGGTCCCAAGAGACCACAAGTCTGCCCCAAGACGACACCACCACGGGCCGGTATGGCCCCAAGACAGCCCAGGGATGAGCGCGCGAGAGCCCCACCAGGGGATGATGATGATGATGATGATGATGATGATGATGATGATGATGATGATGATGAGGGTGATGATGATGATGGTGATGATGATGGTGACGACGATGATGGTCGGGGTGGTTATGCTGATGATGCTGAAGATGATTTTGCTGCTGCTGCTGACGATGATGCTGGTGATGATGACGATGATGATGATGATGATGATGATGATGATGATGACGCTGATTATCATGATGATGGTGATTATGATGATTCTGACAATGATGATGATGCTGATGATTTGATGATGATGACTACGATGATGATGATGGTGATGATGAGGATGAGGATGATGATGATGATGATGATGATGATGATGATGATGCTGATGATGATGATGATGATGATGATGATGATGATGATGATGTGGCTGCTCATGCTGATAATGCTGATGATGATGCCGATAATGACGATGCTAATGATGATGGTTATGACGACGACGATGAAAACGGAAGCAACGAATATAATGGTTGTGATGATGATGATGGTGATGATGGTGATGACGATGATTCTGCTGCTGCTGATGGAAATGATGACGATGATGGCGACCCATGCTGCCGATGATGGTTTCGCTGTTGCAGGTGCTGATGAAAAACGATACTGAGATGGTATTGATAACATGGTTGTTGACGAGGATGCTGATGGTGCTTCAAATGATGTTGATGCTTACGATGCTGCTGATGATGATAATGATGATGATGCTGCTGATAATGTTGATGATGATGATGTTGCTGATGTTGATGCTGATGATCATGATGATGATGATGATGATGATGATGATGATGATGATGGTGATAATGATGATGATGGTCATGATGACGAAGCTGATAGTAATGATGCTGATGACGATGCTGATGACGAATATGATGATGTGGATGACGATGGCGATGGCGACGACGTCATTGTTGTTGTTCTTGTTGTTGTTGATATTGTTGCTGTTGTTGTTGTTGCTGTTGTTGTAATTGTTGATGGCTTCGATGATGAGGACGATGCTGCTGCTGCTGCTGATGATGATGACGGGTCATGATGCTGAAGACGATGGTGGCGATGCTGACGATGACGATCATGCCGATGATAGCGGTTATAACGAAGATGCTGCTGCTGCTGATGATGATGGTGACGTCGATGACGATGATCATGATGATGATGATGATGATGATGATGATGATGATGATGATGATGATGATGATGATGATTGTGATGGTGCTTGTAATGATGAGGACTCTGATGATTCTGATGATGATGATGATGATGATGGTGCTGGCAGTGCTGATATTGATGTTGTTTAGGATGCTGGTGATACTGATCATGATGAGGATGAGGACCACGATGATGATGGTGATGCTGATGTTTGTGAGGATGATGATGGTGACGGTGACGGTGATAATAGTGATGATGATGATGATGATGCTGATGATGATGATGATGATGATGATGACGGTGATGGTGATGGTGATGGTGATGATGGTGATGATGATGACGATGATGATGATGATGATGATGATGATGATGACGATGATGATGATGATGATGATGATGATGATGATGATGATGATGATGATGATGATGATGATTATTCTTATTATTATGCCGATGCCGATGCCGATGCCGATGCCGATGCCGACGACGATGCTGATTATGGTGATGATTATGCTGCTGATGATGATGGTTGAAGGACATGGGTCAACACAGATGCGATCTGCGGGGTGCGCCGCCACAGACCCTGAGCACCAAGCGGGACCAGAAGCAACAGGAGGACGAGCGGATACAGAGCGGATAGCCAGCTGTCCAGGGCACCAGATCATGTGAGTACTGCGAGCAACCATCACTCACCAGAGGCCCTCGAGGGCCACGCGTTCTGAACGTGTGGGAGTCTCCAGGTACCCCTTTTGCATCAATTGATAGCGTGTCAGCGGCAACAACAAATCGCCAGGGTGGATCACGCTGGCGTGCGGTGTCCAGCTAGACCCAACTCCGCCCCGAGAAGACAACCACGCCAGACATCTGCCGACACAAACCCTAAATCTCAGTCATGCCAAGACATCGGGGCAACCCTTAACCTGACCTGAGAAGGCTGACGATGATGATGAAGAAGATGAATGCGAATCTGAAGATTAATATGAAGATGAAGATGAAGCTGAATCATAAGAACACTAATAATACTAATAATGATAGTCATAAGTATGATAATGCTCATATTCGCAATCATATGAGAAAGAGCGTGTTTTACCGCTGCTGGCGGAAAACCGGGTGGGGTCACTGGGGGTTCCAACCCATCCCCCCTCCCCCCTTCGAAAACCGGGGGGGGGGGTCACTACCGATTCGAACCCCTCCCCCCCCCCAGTTCATCATGAAAAGGGGGGGGGTGGCACTACCAGTTCGACCCCCCCCCCTCGAAAACGGGGGGAGGGTTACTACTGGTTCGAACCCCCCCCCCCTCGCCGCCAGCAAACGATTTCCGCTCATCGGGACAGTTGGACAGTGGTGGGGATACTGGGACAGTGGTGGGAACGGTGGTGGTGGGGACAATGGTGGGGGGACAGTGGGACAGTGGTGCGGACAGTGGTGGGGACAGTGGTGAGTGGACAGCAGCGGGACAGTGGTGGGGACAGTGGGACAGTGGTGGGGACGGTAGTTGTGGGGACAGTGGTGAAGGCGGTGGTGGGGACGGTGGTGGGACAGTAGTACAGTGGGGAGAATAGTAGGGACAGTTAGTACAGTGGGGACAGTGGTGGGGACAGTGGGGACAGTAGGACAGCACAGTGGGACCGCGGCGGAGACAGTGGGGAGAGTGGGACCGTGGTGGGAACAGTGGGGACAGTGGGACAGTGGTTGGGACCGTGGGGAAAGTGGGGAGAATGGGACCGTGGTGGGACAATGGGGGGAGAGTGGGGCAGTGAGACACTGGTGGGGGCACTGGTGGGGACAGCGGGGACAAGGGTGGGAACAGTGGGGACAGTGGGAAAATGGTGGGGACTGGGACAGTGGTGGGGACGGTGGTGGTGGGGACATTGGTGTGGGGACAGTGGGAATGTGGTGGGGACAGTGGGACAGTGGTGGGGACTGGTGGTGGGGACAATGGTGAGGGCGGTGGCGAGGACGGTGGTGGGACAATGGGACAGAGGTACAGTGAAGACAGTGGTGGGGACAGTGGTGGGAACAGTGGGACAGCTCAGTGGGACAGCGGCGGGGACAGTGGGACAGTGGGACAGTGGGGACTGGTGACTGGGACAGTGGTTGGGACCGTGAGGAAAGGCGGGAGAGTGGGACCGTGGTGGGAACAGTGGTGGGGATAGTGGGGACAGTGCGACAGTGATGGGGGCAGTGGTGGGGACAGTGTGGACGGTGGTGGAACCAGCGGGGACAGTGGTGGTGAGGACAGTGGTGCTGCGCACGGTGGTGGGGACCCGGGAGTCGTTTGCCAGCGGTGAGTGGGGGGGGGGCTGGAACCGGTAGTGATCCCCCCTGGGTTTATTGGAGGGGGTGGGGTTCGAACCGGTAGTGACCCCCCCCGGTTTTCTGGAGGGGTTGGCGGTGGGGTTCGAACCGGTAGTAACCCCCCTCGGTTTTCTGGAGGGGGGGGGTTCGAACTGGTAGTGACCTCCGTCAGTTTTCTGGAAGGGGTGGTGTGGGGTGGGGTTCCCGGTAGTGACCCCCCTCGGTTTTTTGGAGGGGGGCGGAGTTCGAACCGGTAGTCACCCCCCCAGGTTTTCTGGAGGGGGGAAAGGGGGGGGGGTTCGAACGGGTAGTGACCCCCCCAGTTTTCTGGAGACGGGGGGGGGGAGAGGGGTTCGAACCGGTAGTGACCCCCCCCCCCCGGTTTTCTGGAGGGAGGGGGGGGCGGGGGTTAGGAGGGAGGGGGTTTTGCCAGGGGGAAGGAGGGGGGGGGGAGGTTCCAGCAGGGGGGGGGAGATTTTCGGAGGGGGGGGATCCCCGCGTTCAGGAGGAGGGGGGGAATTTTCCACGGTAAAGCGGCGGTGGATCACGCTCTCTCTAATATGATGATGATGATGATGATGATGATGATGATGATGATGATGATGATGATGATGATGATGATGATGATGATGATGATGATATGATGATGATGATGATGATGATGATGATGATGATGATGATGATGATGATGATGATGATGATGATGATGATGATGATGATGATGATGATGATGATGAGATGATGATGTGATGATGATGATGCGCTGACTGATGATGCTGCTGCTGATGATGATGATGATGATGATGATGATGATGATGATGATGATGATGATGATGATGATGATGATGATGATGATGATGATGATGATGATGATGATGATGATGATGATGATGATGATGATGATGATGATGATGATGATGATGATGATGATGTTGATGATGATGATGATGATGATGATGATGATGATGATGAT